ATCGAATTTTTAGAGGGGTCGAAATTTTGGAGTTTTCACGGTACTAATTATTCCATTTCAATGAAACTTAGTACAAAGATGCTCTAGGACAATGTACAAACCTAATTAGTTTGGGGTAAAAATCTGTTCATATTAATTCCCTAATAAGCATAATAATTCATAATTTTTTGGTTCTAATCACATTTTAATTAAACTTGGAGACATAGATTTTCTGTTACATTGCGCAGACCTCATTAGTTTTACACTCAAATCTGGTCATATTAATTTTCTGATTTGCATAATTAGTTTTCAGCTAAGTAATTTCGAATTATATTTAATGTGTCTCCAATACTCTCAGCACATGGGAGTTCTTTCTAAGCTTTCTTTGATTTTTTAGTTGTAGCTGCAATGAGTTTTCGCTCATTGTATTACTTGTTTCTTTACTCAGGTTCCTAAAATGTTCAAACCAGGTTTAACTGTCAACATTATCAGAGTCATTGTTTACTTTGGTGTCTTTTAGCTCTTTTAATAAATTCCAGTACTCACTGGGGTTTGATTTGCTAAAACTTGTTCAATATATCATTTTTAAAATCTCTCTTTTTCTTTTTTATTAGCCGCTTGTATTCCCTCTTCAGACTGTAGCATTTTTCTCTCAGTTTAATGTTGTATGGGTTTGCACTAAATTTACTAAAGATACCCAAAATTTCTTTCTTTAGACTATATATAGGTCCTTGTTGAACCATTTTGGTTTACATTTAGTTTTTTTTGGTTTTCTCCTGATATATTTTTTCAGACATCTGCCAGTGGCTTCAATGTAAATATTTGAGAGCATAGATTGATTGTTGTGTATTGTCAAAATGTTTAATGTTAAAGTTATTAATTAAATTTGTAATAACTCTACTTTGTAGCGTTAGGTTGAATATCAAATTTGACTCGCTATTCCAAATGTAATTGTCAGTTTCATGTACTAATTTATCATTGTGGGAGTGTGTTATTTTCGAAATATTATTTGTGTAAATTGCATTTGTTTGAAGATGTAAAGTTATTTGGCAGTGATCTGAGAGTAATAAATTAAGAGGGTGAACATAGCAATAGTCTATTTAACAAAATTAATCTATTCTAACAATAGTGTAGTCAACTACACTGCTGCCTTTAGTTTGATGACAAGTGTACTTGCCAGTTTTATCTCCTATACATCTACCATTGAGGATGGTTAGTTCTGTGGATAAACATAAATCCAACAATGAATCACCATAATGATTTTTACTGCCAAGTCTTGTGATGCCCTTTTTCTAGTGTTAATATTTGGAGCGGATGACTGTAAGAGGTCAATTCCATAATGTTTTTGGTTCTGGCATTGAAATCGCCTGATATAATAACTGAACCACGTTTTGAATATCTATTAATATCATCCTCCAATACTTGAAGTAAATTTGCGTCTTTCCATTTAAAAATACTTGAATACTGCGGGCTAAGATAAATGGTGTCGTAATAAATATCTTCGTCAAGATTAAAAAATTCTTTGTCTAGGAGCAGCCAGAGAAAATCATCACTTCCACTCTTCACTTGTTTAATGCCTTTTTTTAAAGTGTTTCTGAAATAAACAACGATTCCTCCCGAGTTCGAGCGGGCTTTTTTGTGTTTATCAGCTCGAAATGAATGAAAATGGCAGAAATTTGGCAATTGGATACAGGAATCTGCACCCGTTTTGGTTTCCACCAGGCTAATAATATCAAAGTCACTAATAAGATCTAGAAAGTTATTATCTCTAATTTTGAGATCTAAGCTACCATGGATGTTCCAGGAAGGGCTTATTAGCAACATTCATCATATAAAAAAAATACATTGAAAGCAAACAATACCTGAATTCTAGGTCAGAAAATATTTTCTAAAATGAGAATGTTTTGGAGTGAGTTCATTGAACCTATTGTTTTTTTATATAGCTCGCCAGGCTGGTAAGTAATGAATATTGTCTACTGTGTTTTCTTCTGTTGAGTGTATCTTGCTCTTTGTTTCTGTGACCATTGTTTCGCTCCATTTTGTGTTTAGTGTTTTGCTGGTCCAAAGGGTTGGTGTTAAAATCGGAATCTTGTGATTCGTCTTGATCCATTTTTTGCTCTGCAGCATCTGTACGTTTTATGATGGTCTGATATATATTACGTTTGAAGTTGGTGACTAGGAATTTAGTTCCTCTATCATTTAGGTGCACTTTGTCTTCGTACAAGTACAATTTAATATTGTTTGTTGCGTCAAGTAGATTGTTTTGTATAAAGTGCACATCCGCTGTGTCTTCACATAAGGAACTGCAAGGATGAGTTGAAACTAGTTGCTGTTGTGTTAAACTGGGCTTTTTCAATTCTGGGTAGAATACTAGAGACGAATATTCTACTCTGTGGATATGTTTTACGGGTGACGTCAATCAGGTTTACGAATTTCTGATGGTAGTTGTCGAGTAATGCTTCTTTCTTTGACTCTGTAGTTCTGTTCAGGTCATTAGATCCAACATGTATTACTATGTTACGTGGGTTCTTGAAACTTGAGTTTTCCAGATAAGTTGTCACCTCGCTAATACCTTTTCCATTTAACGCTTTGACATGGGTTTTCTTGACTGTTGAGAATTTACGTAGATCAATGTGCTTGATAATAGACTCGCCAATAATAACAGTATTGTATGCACTTTTGTTTGATGTAGTTTTGTTGGGTTTTTTTCAGTGTTCCGTGAGTTTTTAGTCTTGGAGGTATGGGTCATGGCATATTTGGAATCACCAGTAGAGTTATCACTATCATCTGCTGAGGTAGATTGTAGTGGATCTCTCAGAAAGTCAGGAGTTTTTCACCGGGATGTTGATGATAAATGGTGTAGCGTCAATATTTAGATTTGAGGTTACTTCGACCGGAGGTGTTGTTTGGAGAGGTGGATTTGTCTGTGTTGTGGGATTGGCAGTTGTTAGCGACTTTTCGGAATTGGTTGTATCAAATCGTGTCTGTGTTGCTTTGTTAACATAGGCAACACTCTTGTTTTCCGTAAGAGCATAATTGCGTTGTATGGTTTTCAACATGGTTAATATCTGTGATTGTGTGTCATGCATCCTATTGAAGCTTTTGTTCAGTTTAGTTATGTCGTTATTGTTTTTGAGTACATAGACGTTGATGTTGTCTAGTGATGTTTGTAAATTCTTGATCTCACTCTGACAGCTTGCCGTTAATTTGTCATGTGAGGAAAACTTTGCCTTGCTGTCCAGTTTTTCCAGTTGTAGATCATCAAGTTTATTGTTGATGTCTATATATCTTCTATAATTTCCCGGAAGTTGGATTCCTTGTTTAGAATAACATTTCTAGCTTTGTCTAGTAGATGTGATTTTGAGCGAATAGGTGTCTGTTTTGTTGTATTCTGAAGATCACTGGCTTGGTTGGCTGATTCTGATTCTGATATGGATTGGCTAGTGTTTTCTGATACTGGTTTCTGTGATTCCGTATTGGTGATCACATCAGATTGAGGTTGTGGAGAGCATATATATAGCATATCATCAGGGATAGTTGTTGCGTTGCAGTTATGAACGCCGTCGCCGCCATTTTGGACGATAGGTTCACGTGTCGACTGTGCGTCGCCATCTTGGTTTGCTTGTTTATATTTTGGTTGTCTGTTGTTGCTTTCGCCCGCTTTCGTCACCGATTCAGAAAGAAATTCATGTACTTTTGCTTTAAGGGCAGGATATTCACGTTTAGACCACTGTAAGATATATTTACCTTGGATATAAATGACGCCAGATGAATAATAAAAACTGACAGTGACCTGTTTGCTGTTGTCTTCGTCACGGCGTCGATCTACCCACTTCATTTGAGTACCTCCGGAAATGTTACACCATTGCATGTTAATATTGTTTTTGTCCTGAAAGAAGTTACTATATCTGGTCTTTGCTACTTCTATCCAGGTTATAATTCGAGCAGGTGTTGTTCTGTAGCAAACGTCGTTAATTTCAGGATGGCTTGCGTCGCTGTGTTTATTACGCCAATGGGTTACTGTGTCCTGTTCGTCGGGGATAAGGTCTTTTCCTCGGCGTTGAGAATAGGTTACAGGGGTGACATCTTCTACGTCAGTGGTCTGATTTTTCTTCGTAATTTCAGATTCGTGGATAAAGTTAGCGTCCTTTGTAGAACGAACAACACGGCGTTGTTTGGTTTGTTTGGTTTGATCTGCAAAGTTCTCTTTGTCTTTGTCCATTGACGCCATCTTGGATGCTTTGTGAATCTTGAACTTGAACAGTGGAATTTTGTCTTGCGATTTTCTTCGTATAAATCCAATTTTGAAATACTTGACTTGTTATTACAACATCTTATATGTTTCATAAAATGGTTGATGATGTTTAAAGACCTAGAATCAGCATTAGAATGCTAAATTCAGCAGTTAGACATGGAGCCGATATACAAGCTGTGTTCTCAGCTTGTGAGCGCCCTCGTATATAGTAAATATCGTATTTATTTTATTATCACGTGTGCGCCAGCTGACTGTGCATATTCACATGAAACACGAGCTTCGAACTCGCAACTGGGCAAATGCGCCCGACACTGTAAGCAGACACGCCCCCAACCAATACACTGTCTCGAAAAAGACAAATGCACAATTACAATGAATCTCTGACGTCACAAACATGTTGAATTTAATTACCAACGACGAAGAAATTTAAGTCAGTTCATCAATACAATTAGCATGGAACAATACATTATATAAAATAATATAATAAAAGTATTATTTATTGTGTTTATCAATACACCAGAAATACCTAAATACCAGAAATCCTTACATGCTTGTACTGGAAATACTTGCTTTGTGTTTACATTAAGTTTGAAAGACTTGAAATAAACACAGCCGCTTGACAAGGCCGCTTAAAATAGCGCGAATGCCATACACAAAGCGGGGTTAATTGCAACTGTTCTTACCTTATTCTCCAACGGTTTGTGACTGCCGCCGTGATTAACGCAACGACGGCTACAACACCACATACAGTGAGTGATACAACCATGACTATCGGAAATTTGCATCTCAGCTCCTTGGGATTGAACAGCATAACAGGATTGCCAGATGAGCAAAATGTCGCTGCAGTGTCGACCGAGACATCTGTTGAATTCAGCCAATTTCTGAACCAAACTAGATCACACCCACACTGGAACGGATTATCAGAGACAAGCAACGTGTTGAGGTTTTCAAGGTGTTGAATTCCAAAACTCGGCAAAATCACCTCAAATTTGTTATTCGCTATACTCAATACTTCGATATTCGGTGACTTGTTCAGCATATTATTTGGCAGAGTTTTCAAATTATTTGACTGGATTAAAACTCTTCGTAATTTCGTATTTGTTGAGAATAGATTTGCTGGTATATCTCTCAAGAAATTCGCGTATAGTAACAAGTTCTCCAGTTCAACATTGTTGGTGAACATGTCAGCGGGTATCACGTGCAGATTCAACTCTCGCATTGATAAATGCGCAGTTGTTTTAAAGGTTTAAACCACTCGCTGTTACCGACTGTTATACCGGGCCGTGAGTTAGACGACAAATCCAAATGCTGCAGATTTTCTAGTCCGTCAAATGCCAAGTCGTCGATATGCATACCGTCCAGTTTGTTGTTAGCAATGTACAGTCTTTCCAGTTTTTTCAAATGTCTGAACGTGCCTCCGTCAATCTTAGAGAGTTTGTTCCTTTCTAGGTGTAACAAAACCGTCTCCGAAGGCACCTGTTTTATCACCTTCTCTAATTCAATGCCAGACTCTGCTTTACATGTTAGTTTCAAGTTTCCCCACGACTCTCTGGAAATAATGCAGAACTCACAACGGCACGCGGCGAGGCAGGTTACATTGGTGGCTTCAACACAATCACCCGTCGTACTGCGTAATGACTGCAGAAGTACTGTGAATCCGATCAACTGTATCCCAATCAGACGAGGCATAATGGCTCAATGGACGCCTCTTCAACGTATCCGCTGTAAAATGAATACCCCAACTTGTTTCCGCGTTCTCAAAATAGACTTGTTACAGTGTTGTGACCTCATGACGCATCGACAATAATCTACTCGACATATATAAATTTCAAATACACACAATATTACAATGAAAAAAAGAAAACTTGAAATTAATAATACATTTCTGAATTTAGAATCATGGGAAAGAGAGCAAATGTTGTAATACAATCAAGCGTATTAAACTTTTAAATTTTATAATTAGCTATGTCATATACCGGATAACACTACGTCATATAGAATGTGTACTGTTATTTGAGACCTGCATTCTTTAACCTAAGAACATAATGTTCAGGGGTCAGTATTCGGGTCAATCGGTTTATACAATTAAGTCGCATGTTCCACCGAAGACTAGAATGCTTTCTCCTATAATTTAGAGTTATTATAATTATTGTCATCACCATAAGAAGTGATAAAATCTGTTGGCAATAAATCAGAAATATTTTATCACTGAAACTAACTTGACAGAAACAAGGTCGTAGTGTCGAATGAAATATATTTCCCATTATGTAATCACTCAAGGTCATTTGCATGAGTGGTGTTTAGATGAGTATGTTGAATCCGGGTTTTCGAATGACGCATTACGTAATGCTGTTAATTATTCATGATGTAATTTGATTCGTTTAAGCAACACATGAGCGAGCAGTATATGGTTCGTCGTAAATTGTCACATAGTGATTTACTAGTAAATTACTTCATTTTACCTTATAGTATTCTTTAATATTCATATTTTAATATTCGTTAATTGATGTCTTTTTCTTATTTTTAACATTGTTCAGTCATATATATACTAAATACATATCCAGATTGATAATTCATCTGTAAGTCAAAGAACGTTAGTGTCATAATTCTTACGATTTGTTGGATGGACATACCCAACGGCCATATTTACTGGCCATTCTATATCAAATATTGGTATACACACCTGCAATTGCTACATTTATTTGTAGCATGGACACATATGTTATACAAACATTATATCTGAATTCATTGGGATTAATTGCAGAACGTGTTGTATAGCTCAATGTAAATACAATATATTTGTCCGAGGTGTTTGCATTAACATAACAGTTCTCATAATCATGTATTCTTCGAACGCGGGAAATTGTTTTCACTCGATTTAAAGTTTAAACTTGTCTGCCATTGAAAGAAATCAACTATTACTTTTTTAATATGATGTCTTTGAAAATACATTAGTTTCAGGGATTAGCAGAGACTCATATTATATATGTTTGAATGTGAAGAAAATGATAATTCTGAAGTCAAAATTACGCGTGTTGTGTGATTGACCGAAACAAATCAATTTAAATAGTGGTGCACTTCCTATTCTATTTGGTAAATTAAACTCGGCCAATCATCAACATCAACTTTGATACACATTTAAATTAGATTTGACGAACTATGTTGAAAATTTTAGCCTACGCGGACAGCGTCTGACCTCTGGACTGAATAAAGTGATGACAGAGAGTATGCGTAACTATGGAGAAGATCGTGGGATGCATTACTCGAAGCTGACTGCGTTTAAAACTGGGCGATTTTCATTGCACTCTACCAACCAGGACAACATGCAGGTACACTATAAGGAAAATAGAAGGTGGTCTCCTAAGGGAAAAAATACCGCCCACAAATCGTGATAACAATGTTTAAAGAAATTAGGTCATTTATCTTCTATGGTCACTGACACTGGCACAAACCGGTTCGCATAGCGAAACTAAAAATAGGTTAACATGTGACTCGCCGGTTCTTCAGCGCAGAACGTTTGTGTGTAAATCCCGCGTCTGTAAATCCCGTGTTGGTATCCTTCACAAGAAAATCACTAATCAGCCACCCTGGAGCTGACTATGATTTCACTATTAAATCTCAATGTCACGTCCCAACAATCATTAAGTACCATGACAACGATATGACAGATGGATTTAGCGATTCACAAGAATTTGTGATGTATACTGTTTTAAAAAAGAGACACTCATGCAATATGTATTCACAATCAAATTATTTCGGTTTGAAACCTGCAGTAAAATTAAAATCATCTCTTCTTATGCATGGCATGGTAAAAGGTTAGCGCCAATCGTATTAAAATATGATTTAATTATTTGTATTGTACATTTTCTTTTATCTTAATTTATTATTTATTTGTTAGACATTTTTTAAGAGTTTTGGTAATCGCGAAAGCATGTGGCGATAGTTAAAGTAATACAAAATAAGAATACGTTATAATAATAAAAGCAATTACAAAATAATAAAAATATATAATAAAAATAAAATAAAATATATAAAATCAAATCCACGCCATGCAATACATCAGATTTTAATCAGATTGGGCTGGCCGTTGAAGCCAAGTTCAAGACAAAGATCTTAGTATTATTAATAAAAGCACATTCTGTAGTCTTCTTAATCTCAAGTTCAACTGGATATAGCATTGGAATATAATCACTATATCTACCATTTGTTTTAACTAATTTATGTGGAAATGTTGCTCCTTACGTAACAAGGAATAAACTATTGTCAATGAATAAATCCAGTCATCTTCAACACCAGTCTTCTTAAAAAAGTAAGTAAAATTAAGTATTTGTAGACACTAAACCATTTTCATTAATTAAACACGCTTGATGATAATGTTCTTTAATGCGTAATTTTCATGATTTATGTTAAGATTTATATATCTATATAATTTCCAATTACGAGTGCATTCTACGTCCTGTAAATCCCCTCCATTAGACTAATATACAAATCAGTGGTTGTCGCAATCACGCTTGATATTGGCTGGTCGTTGGTGGCGAGCATGGGAGAAATCGCGAATACCTGAACGATTTCACACTTTGGTAATTGCGGAAGCCTTATTCATAACCCTAGTTATCTGCTGTCGAGTCCGGTCGAGTCGACTGGTTGGTGGTTAGCATAATAGTCTTGTGTACGTAAGATCATTGGTTCGAATCTAGGTGACATGTAATTTTGGATATTTACTTATATATAATTTCAAATTACAAATTCTGTATATCCCCAAAATTGCGAATTGTTCAAGTAGCTGTACATTATGCATGATGCAACTCAATTGTTATTTCTAAACAAATGCTTATTACGTAATATGTAAAAATATCCAAAGCAGTATATGTCCGCAATTATGTATTGAAACAATGCATGCATCTAATTTATTTACCCGTTAAACATATCTACTATGTAAATCATCATTCATCTGCGTTGATAAAAAACACCAGACACCCAAATCACCCAAAATAGCGATCGGCACAGAAGCATTCTGTAGACTATTGTGATAAAACAAAATTCTTATAAAATATACCCTAGTTAAATTAAGAAAATAATCGATAATAGTGATATGCAATGTTATACGATCAACAGCTCATTAAAAACTCATTTAAATATTGTTGATGCAATACGGTGTGTTACAAAACATTTAATTCCACGGAATTGTCCTCGTTCGCAACAATATTCACCCCCTTATTTTGCTTGCGTGGATCATTATTCTGAATAATTCCATACTTGCTGTAATCAAATCAAATAAGATATAATCAGACATTTCAATATTATTCGTGCAAGAACCGATGTATCTTATCATGTTACTGTCATTATCACATTGTCCAATGATTTTTACATCGATACATTTCATCTGAGGATCATTAAAACAAGATATTGTAATGGAAACCTGTGCTTTATTGCATTATTGAACTAGGATATTTGTTAACCTAGGTAGACCTTTAGCCTATATATTGAGTATATAATATCACATGACTATTTGTGATTGACATGCACACTTTCTGTAATTCTGTTCGATAAGCATGGCGTTGATGTGATGGTTCATGGAGAATATAACTACTCTGTTTTTATCCAAAATCCGTGTGTGAATCGTTTTATTTCGATAACATCGTGAAGTGGTTGAACCGAGACTGTAATAGGATCCCCCTGAGAAAACTGTCGTTCTGTGTGTCTGCTAAATCACCGTGTGACACAGTAGAAAGTGCTGTCGTTTATCGCTCCTAAATTACTAGGCCGGGTAACGTTCTTTTTGTAGCGGAGCCCCGAATAAATTTCATTACAATATTGATCAATACTAAGAAAACTCTATCCTCGGGGGCGGACATCCGGGCAATTTCTACCGCCTGGCAACCCTCGCGGTGAAAACAAAGACCAAAAACTCGCAGAAAACGGTACTTTGGGATGTTTGTTGAGACTCCCCTGAACAGTGTAACAAGATTAGTCCTACGTGTGTAACATATATAAATTTGGTTGTTCAGGATTACTTCAAAGTTGAGTTTGTGTTGTTTTCTCGAGTTTTCACCGGCTCCACCGGCGTTCCACAGCAGCGCGCACAAAGCCCATAGAAATACGTGGTACAGTGGCGCGCGTCTTAGCAACGTAGAACGTCTGTGACGTAGCTCCGCCCCCGAGGATACAATTATTATATTGAGTAAATCAGAGTAAATATACAAAACATGAATCGAATGTTGGAGTCTCTTGCAGACGACATGTTTTATAAATAACTACTCGTGCACAGGTCACTGGATTTTCACTATTGACTAGTCAGTAATAAAAGGTTATACATAAAATACCGATATGGTAAATTCTGTTAGTGTTGGTGTGAGAATAATATATTAATATTAATAATATACAGCATTATCCGGTAGTATTATACATCTGTCACCATAACGCCATAAGTATGACGTCATCGCAGCAGATTATTTGCCATAATATATTTCTTTATTGTGCACAAAGGCCCATACATGCATAAGATCAAAATTATGTAATTGAAAACGAATAAAAGGTAGGTGTTATAAAGAGCGGAAATGATAGTGGGAGGAAAAGAAGTTTTAAACAAATATGTACTTACTTTCCAAACTGTTCGGCTTCTTCTATACTTTCCGGTAATTCTACTCCCCGTGTTTCTGGTAAGAATACAATTAATATACCTGCTACAATTGAGGTGATGCCGAATACCAAGGGAGGAAGTTGTTTCCACACTTCACCCATTAAAAGCAATTGAGGTGCCAAAATACCACCAATACGTGCGCACATGGAACACGTTCCTACGCCGACTGATCTGGGAACGTCAATATGAGACACGTTATTATAAATATCAATTGTTTTTATATTGCTATTATTACAATCAATTGTCATCTGCAGATACACAACTTGAGACTTGTCAACATAAAAAGTGTGACGCTGAAATACGAAAATCACAAAGTGTTGGCTTGTATTTAGTTTCAAATAATTGCAAGTGTACATCTAGTTTGCCCTAATTCCAAAAGTGCCGAATCCAACTCTGGAAAAAATATGAATATTTGACATACACACGAGATACGAGGAATAATGAGTCTTTTAAAACTATGCAAATCATTGGTTGTCTCAAAGACTGTATGGTACTAGTTATGAATGTGTCTTGGTATTTTTTTTTATTTGTTAACATTATTTTCGAATATATCAAACTTTACGACGAAAAGATCACTTATGTTGCTTTCTTTCAAATTGAATATTGTGATTCTCTGTTTTGTGTTCTAGAATGCATATATTTTTTTCTTCAGAAATTAATTCATATATTTGGAATATCATCTTTTTATTTCCATAGGTTATTTTGAGTTGTCCGAACAGTTAATTGAGCCCTCTCAGTTTCCTGTTGGAGAAGATTTTTAGGTTTTTAAAGAATTTTTATTCTGTTCATTCCCATAGTTCTTGATAAGTACATTGTAAATTTTATGAGAGATTACAAGTTCTGTTTAGTTCAAGTATAAAAATCTTACAAAACCAAGTATAATTCTGTAGTTATCATGTTAGATTTAATTGACATATGAGATAGGAGTTATAAGAGCCAATTTTTTAAAGTGTAATCCCAATTTTAACGTTAAGGATTAGCCCCAAGAAAAGAACACTTCTCTGCATAATTACCGTATACCAACACTAACGAAAGATTAGGATGCTCATAGCTGTCTAGTTCACTTTTATGTAGTTTTTTGTTGGTGTACAGTTGTTTCCAATACATGCCAGGGTTCATAGCACCAAGAGCCAAATGATTTCCAAGACTTTTCCAGACCTTTGTCCAAACTTTCTTGCATTTTCCAAGACGTTTTGACCCTTAATTCAGGCCAACATCATCACCAAAGCTCATCAACGTTCTGAGGATATGGTAGTTCCCTAGAGAAAACGGGCCTTTCTAAAATGAATTAATAACTATGAAGAAATTTAAAGACTTTTCGAAGATTTTTTTATTTTTCCTGTAATTTAAAGACAACTCAAAGACATTCCAGACCTCAAAAAATCCAAAGACTTTCAAAGGATTTTCCCAACGCTATGGACCCTGCATGTAATTTAAGTTCAATTCTATTCTCTCGTGAGATTTTGTTTTCTTTCCCAAATATCTATTATAGTAAACATTAATTGACAAAGTCACTCAACCCCACCTGAAACATACTTGTTTTGTAATTACAGTTGAAGAGGAGATTATGAACAGGTGTGAGTTGTTTATTAAGAAACACTGTTTACGAAAGTTCAATATCTGGGTTTGAATAGCTTTTCATCCATTTAATCCTATTTATCTTTTTCATGATATACAAGTTTAGATAACTCTGACTCACCTGTCCCCTTGCTAATTAAATTTCCCGCAATTTGTGTATCTCATCTCATTCAAACTTGTATATTATTTTATACACTTCTTGAATTGTCTGCTTTATAATCATAACCGAATTGTGAATATATGTAAATTGAGACATTTCAAACGTCTTTATTATTTGTACTTTGCCGAATAAAGAAGATAACCTTGTTGATTAAATGACTGTCATATCATCTGCAAATGCAGTCACTTCGAAATATGTGTGTATGTCATAATTGCTATTAATATCATTTCTAAAATTAAAACAAATAACATTGGTAAGAGGGGGGTCACATTGAAGTTAATGTTTTAATTTGTCGCTTATCTCAAATTTATTTGCCATAATTCCGGTCACAGCTGTAATTTTAACAAAGATACAAAACCAAATTATTGTTACGAAGTGCATCAAAAGCAGTGCCTTACCTCAAAGGAGTAGGGAATAATTCAGCAGAATAGACGTATATCATTCCAAAAGCAGACGTGATGCCAAATTTGCCCAACATCGCCAATGTTATTCCTAACCAAACGTAACCACCGCCTATAAAGTAAAAACGTACATTTCTAACATTAATTCTAACAATTCGTGATTACGACTCCCAAATACAATATAGATAACATTAGCTCGCAATAAGCAAGCTAGAACTAAGTAACACGTTCACGTCGGGGAACATATACAAGCAATTGGCATTCCATGTTTTAAGGTTGTCGAGAAATTGTCGAATCTAAGATGCGAGTATGTTGTATGCAGTTGTGAATATCATATCTCCGTTTAGAGGATATTTAAACAAATAAATAAGCCAATATATTTATATATACTTACAAGGAGGAACGAATGCTAAGGCAATGCATGCAATACCAGCAAACACCAATGTTGAACAATGTGCCCAGCGACGTCCTATTCTAGAATTTTCCATCAGGATGATACCAAATATGTAGGCAGCAATTTCTACAACTCCAGATATGAACATGTTAAGGTAAACATTTCCACCCAGATTTGACGTGTCGAATGATATCCCATAATATATAAGAGTAATAGTGATCCTATTAAAACATTAATACAGAAATAGGAGTATTTCCTTATATAGTATATCATGAAAAGAATAAATAAAACAAGTTATGCAACCCATTGAATCTTTATAACATTTTGGTATAGTGTTTGTTTTTACCTTACATGCGCAAACAAACAAACAAACAATTCTACAATAATTGTTGCCGTAATATAATACAAAAAACCTCACCAAGTGTAACATAGGATAATGGTTTTCTTTCTCAAGTTTGGGTATCTTATTAGAGTAATGCAACCATACTTCGTCTGGTTTAAGTCACCTGTATTGTCCTAAAGTTAGACAGAAAGAGAAAATATCATTTAACCATGTTTCAAAAATAACAACAAACTTAAACATTTCGATAAAATGGAATGATAAACAGATTGCTTGGGATAAATATCGTTTTACAAATAATGGGTCTATAAATATCATCCAAAGATTGGTGATACTACTGTATTGCTATGATCGAATTTTCCACTTACACGTTTTGTTTCGTTTTGCCATTCCTGCTTGAAGAGATCTTTAGGAATATCGACTTTGTTAATTCTTGCACAGCGAGAGATAATATTCTCAGCTTCCTTGGTTCTCCCGACTGATATTAACCATCTTGGCGATTCGGGAACAACCCTACATTTATGATGAAAATTAAAATATTGTTATTTTTAATGTCTTGGACATTTGGATTTGAGTGTGATTTTGACATAGTTACTAAGTTGATCACATATTAGTAAATTGATAAATAGTAATGAATCGGACAATTTATTTCACGCACGGTGTTGCAATTGAGATCATATTTTAGCTGTTAAGAGTGTAACTGTAAAATTTGTGCGGTCACTGTATTTTGGTCCTGGTTTTCAACTATACACGCGAGTATCAATACAATAAACTACAATATGGAGATGGAGTTAGAAAGCAATTTACCAATAGTAAATCAAAAATATCACATTTGGAACAATTGTCACCAATTGTAAAATCCACCATTCTCGTATAAAATAGGCATAGACTGCTAAAACCATGTAACCGGCACTAAAAAATGAAGAATACATCATTCCAGTAAATGTACGCTTTGTTGGTCCAACATACTCGCAAACTGTGAAGACAAATAGAAATAATCTATAAAATAAAGACATGTCGAACATGACATGTCAATGTGAACATAATGCGACCAGACAATTATACGGAGAATAATAAAATACATCAACGTCACCTAAAACAAAACCAGCAAGGTATACACCGTATTGAGATACAGGGATAAAAAATCTCATCACAACGAACATCACGTAATTAAAAGGGAATGCTCCAATGATACCAGTGATTATTAATAGGACATTTCCAACCATGAAACCAGTCATTCTACCAAACCTATAAAAAAAATGAATAATAATATGTATTATTATTATACATCTGTCACCGTAACGCCATAAGTTACAGCGTGCCGTAATTTTGCGGTATTTTACGGGGTATTTTACCATATAAGGAAAAGCGCATACCAAATATGGAATGACTACGCGCGTAAGCGTCCTCTAATAATAAAAACAAACATGGCTGCCATCGGTGTTTGACCGGACTCCACACAAAGAAGTTCGCTGATTCTGTTGTAAACTTTTTAGATTTCGGCATTCCCATGATGTATCCTTGGAAGGAAAAGATGTATAATAATAAGGTTATTACGAGAATTCCTCAGACAGTACGCCGCGCATGCTCCATCTGTACTGTCTTCGTGCATACTTTGAGGTATTCTCGTAATAACTTTATTATTCGCTGATTCTGTTGTAAACTTTTTGGATTTCGGCATTCCCATGATGTATGCTTGGAAGGAAAAGATGTATAATAATAAGGTTATTACGAGAATTCCTCAAAGTATGCACTGAGCCAGTACGCCGCGCATGCTCCATCTGTACTGTCTTCGTGCATACTTTGAGGTATTCTCGTAATAACCTCATATTATTGGATATTTGTAGAGACTGATTTTCACATACATCTACATAAACACAATGTATGCAAATATGTAATGCTAAATACAGCAATACATATATTAATACACGAACGTAGATATTTAAATATGCAATATGACCTGTATAGTCCACGTTTATCTAGTCAGCAACATTCCTCTTCCACCGTAGCAATAAAACAAACGTAATGATTGAAATGATATCGCGATTCTCATTCAAGATTACATTTTATAACTCACATGTCAAGAACATATCCCCAAATAATGGAGCCGGCGAGCATCCCAAACATATAAACAGACGTTGGCAGAGCATTCATATAGAACCTGTCACAAACCAAGTCAAACTTGGAAGGAAAGACAATGGTATATTAGTAAAGTTCCAGTCACTGTGTAGTTCAAGTAGGTTAATTCTGCAATCATAGTAAAAAAACGACTAAAATATGCATCTTTAATATTAAAAACACAACAATCATTGTGAATAGTTTACATGAAGGAGTCTTAAAGACATATTCAATGAGTTCCAATTAGGGCTACTGTATGGAAATGCATATTTGACATAATGAAGTAAAACTGTACCCACCTGATGCGACACTGTTAATTTATATTGTGATCTGTCATACTCCCATCCATGATCACATTTTATTGTTTCATTGTTGTTAATAAAACTTTCGATATTTGTTTCAGGGTAGGCAGCAATGTCATCATAAGATATGTTATATCGACGACATTGATCAAATACCGATACCGAACCGCATCCAATATCTTTATTGATTCTTGGAATGGTGAGATTCTTCACCAGTAGGTCACAGTTACCGATAGTGTTGTTAAAACAAATCTGTTTACTGATTTCAGAAGCTTCTGGTACTTTGCACAATGAGTCGGTGGTTGCAAATAGAAATACTGGCGATAATGTCACAAGCGCTAACGGCAAGGGCGCTGCTATACCAACAAGAATGAAACACGCCTTCTGGTAAGTGCCGAACTCTCCCAGTATATTTCGCAAAACATCGTCGTAGTGCAACATCTGTAAAATATCTTAAAATGTTTTACATTTTTCAACACCAGCAAAATGTGTTACTTTGTGTTTGTGTCACATTGGCAAATATGTCGATGACGTAACGGTAAATTATGAGGGACCAAATTCACATAATTTTCATAACATTGAAATGTCAGATCTGCAAATTATATCAACTGATGATATAAGAGATGTTTGTTCTATGTAACCGCGTTCAAGAATTTAAAACGTGTGTAATGGATGGTAATACGAGTGCTCAGTCATGTAGTTTATCTGAAGTTACACATTTTTGTATTTCGCGTATTGAGCAGCGGACTGAATTTATGATCTTATGCTTTATTGCTTACGAAAAATTGAGTCGATTGCTCATGAAGTGACAACCTGTCATAGTGATTCTGTGTGTGATATTTTCGTGACATTTTGCAAATTGTTAAGTGGTATTTTACTTATTTCATTTTATGCATCGTTTACGTTTAAAAGTTATACTTATCTGCACTTAAGTTTGCAATTCACTGAGATTCTTACACTACTGTTTTATTACTATTTTGAGGCTAGAAATCTATCTATCTGATATGACATTGTATTGATTTTGTATATTTTGACAATAATTATGTGCAGTTTGGGTTGCTTGAGTGTATTCAGTTATTCATAAAAATGTATTTTGTATCCCATATCATCATTTTAGGGCCAACTGATATTATTTATTTTTAACAGTGTTTGCTATATGCAGGTTTTAGAATTAGGAAATAACTCTATACCTTTGTCTATGTGTCATATATCCTAGCGTTACACTTGATACGTATTTTAACGATTATTGTCAGCAAAATTATATTTTCGGTGCACGAGAATGCAAATTCAAAAATGTAGGCAGTAAAATGTTTTACTCGGTTCACTTGTTATATTTATTTTTGTAAGGGCTGTTTAACATGGATGAAAACTATAATTGCTATTTATAGTAATTGTATAATATGTGTGGTACTAGCTTCGTGTTCGTCGAACTGACGTCTTTCTTGGGTGATAACACAAATACGTTGAGATACCAGAAACGACCCAAAAGAATACACATTAGTTCATTATAGTCCAGATTTATTCACACATACGGTCAGCTGAAGTAACTCCTCGCTGTCCACTTCTCTCCACTCATCCTTACAAAGTCCTACAAATAAATCACTATAGCGTGGCAGCGTAAACATGCGATCAGTCAATCGCTACAGTCGTCGGCACGAACATGTCAATACCAGGGTCTAACGGTTAAAGCATTGCAAAGACGCTACCACTGAATACGATTAGTAAACAATATATTTATTAAATTCATGTAATTCATAGTTATAATGTTAATAACCTAAGCATGCGAGTTGTTAATTTTAAACAAAACTGTAACGGCGTGTGAACCAAATGTGCGTACTATCGGCTCCGTTTGCATCGGCAGTTGGTTCGAAGAAAATTTCACCAGAAAATACGTCAATATTAGTATATTAAAATCGCAAACATGGTATATGTTAAAATCGACACTTATATTATTAGGTCGTTTACATACGTTTCTTGGACAGTACAGAATGTAAACAAATGAAATTTGTTTTATAACATTTTTTTTATATATTTCGTCGTTTTCAGCAATGGAGATTGACCCAATAGTGGTTTACAGTATTCAGTATTCGTTAATTGACCGTGTGTGAGAAATTAGAAGATTGTGAGGAAACGATAGTCACTTAAATATTCACATACAGCTGTTTTTGATACATTGAATATGTAATTAAAATTAACATCCACATTACCTTATACCAGTCAAATAAGTGCAGCGAATATTCAGCCAATATTCAGGTATATATGCGGGGTTGCCACGTTACAGTCGTTCGGCTTATACATATATTCATAGCTATATATAAAGAGATTGATACTCATTAATATTCAGTGTTCAATTTGCATATAGTAGCCATGTAAGTACTAGACACAAACGAAATAGAGTTTAAATGAAAATGGCGGCCATGAGTTCGTTTGGAGCGTCTTGTTCTTGTCCCTATGATATTGTTCAACACTCTATTAATCGCGTATATTGTCCTTCTGAACTATACTTCAACTGAAATATAAATAATAGACTCTATTTGGAGAAATGGATAGTTTGCTAGGCTGTCTCGCTCTCGCTCCCAGCGAGATGTAATATCTGGGAAGCCTTTAGCGCCAAATGTATATTGGTACGTTTTCCTGTAGACCTTCTAACGACGTCTACACGACCAAACATCTTGAAATGTATTATTAGCACATTTATCTTATACTAAGTGCTTTCTAAGATACGTTTGATCCGATGTGATCCTTTGGGCAATTAGTGGTACAATGTGTCTTTAAAGAGAGACCACACCCTGCTCTACATGGGACAACTACCTGATAAGAATATACGTCATAATACTGGTTTGACCCTTACTGCAACACCCACAATATATGACCAATATCACCTTACTATTCTCACAATTCTTACTATTCTCAGGTTTTTCATTGATGGCATGAATTGTGATATGGCTTTCAATAATTGAGAAATTTAACACATCACAAGAAGGTAGACTTCTTTGATAACACCTGATTTCCTAATTTACGACAGATCTACTTTCGTCACTTTCTTTTACCGCTCACCGGAAGACTATTCGTGTTGGAACACTAATTGACTGAATATGTGTGGCTTTTACATAAACTTGTATAGTGGAATATATGCATATTCACAGTAGTTTGAACTATGGTATCGGTTAAACTCATTCAAAATAGCTGCATAATGTTTCATTATAATTCGGTCTACGTCCGTCTGGAGTCATATTTCAGATTCATTTTTGATTGGATCACAAATGGCCGACTGGCAGCCATTTTGTTGTTTTCAAAATGCGGTCTCGTGTGCATGCTTTGTCAGTTTGTGTTCAAATTTGGTACATACATTGTACATTTGTTATTACATGTCCATGACAATTTATTTCACAATCAGATTAAAGATGGCTCCTGGCGGTCATATTGCTTTTTGACAATCCTACTATATCGCCAAGGCTTATGAACCATTTTCATTCATATTTGGCACATACATCATACATGTTTATGTCAGTTTGTTCCATAATAAGATCAAAGATGGACGACTATCATCCATCTTGTTTTATTTAAAATGTGGTATCTTGAACAAGATTATTGGTTTTTGTTCAAATTTGATACAAACATTATACTTGTTCATCTACATGTCCATTGTGATTCGTTTCATGTTTGAATCCAAAATGGCCAACTGGCAGCCATCTTGTTGTTTTTTTAAATGTATTGTTGACATTTTTTCTTCATATTATACATGTTCATGACAATTAGTTTCACAATCGGGTCAAAGATGGTTGACTGCCCACAATCTTGCAAACGTTTTGACCTACTTTGTCTGTTCATACGAGTCTGGACAAAGAGAATTCAACTTTATTCTTCCTAATTCTAACGGGGCTATGTCATTAACAATGACTTGTTCTAAGTATGATGGTATCTTATAAGCCGATCCCTCTTCCCTAACTTATAAGGAAACAGACGTACGAACCTACGTAACCTATGGAAGGTGTTTGCTTTAAAGCGGGATGTGCACGGTAGATGAGCTTATCAAACTGACACGCGTATATACATTGGTGGAGGTCGGTGATAGGATGGTACTTACGAGCAGGTGCATGCACAGGCTATTTTGATTGAACTGCAACTCTGTATAGAGCTCACTGATTAGTAGATTGGGACAACACCCGGTGTGCATATCATGGTACACGGACTGATGTCTATACATTGATATTAAACATGGCAGGCGTTTCATGCAACATTTTGTGTTTGACTTTGTGTTGGACCAAGTCTCGGGGGAGTTGCATGTTTGTGATTAGCGAACTGCCTATGCCCGTGTATCTGTGTGCGCCTGTGGGGGGAACTGATGGACTACCATTTTGTACAACCCTATTCGATTCGACCATGCTAGCTGCGTCGCCGTCAGTCCATAAATATACGTGAATCACGATGGTGAAACGTTGAAAGACGTGCCATTGCACTCACAAACACCATCATCATCATCAATTTCCAGTTAGGGGTGGGTGTTTATTATAATAATGTATATTGTTTTAGAACACTTTTTATGTATGTAACTTACCATTGTTTTGACCTATTTGCATCACCTTACGTTGTCAGCTGGCATAGTTGCTATTTTGTTTCTTTAATGTTTGTTTTATTTTACGTATGAGTAGATTGTGTATTTTTATGCATAATAAATGCAAAAAAAAATCACCATATTGCAACATCTGTAAAATATGTTAAAATGTTTTACATTTTGCATCACAATGTGTAACTTTTTGTTATTGTAAATATTACGTAAAGGTAAAGTATGAGGAACTTAATTCACATTACTGTCATATCATTGAAATGTCAGATCTGCATATTATATCAAATGGTGATATACGAGATGTTTGTTCAATGTAACCGCGTTCAAGAATGTGAACGAGTGTAATGAAAGGGAATACGAGTGCTCAGCCATGTAGTTCATCATAATTTATTGTCAGCAAAATGATCTTTTTGGTGCACAGGAATGCAAATTCACATATGTAGTTAGTAAAATGGTTCACTTGTTTTACTTTATTTTTAATAAAGGCTTGCTCGTGTTGTGTTTGTGTTGGTAAATAGAAAAAAAAACGATCAGCCAAAACAATATGGTGTATCAATGGATGTCAAAGAGAGAGCGATTGCACGTATTGTTAAGTAGCATGAATGAACGCCCTATTGTTGGATTATCTGTTTAAAATAAATGAAAGCTGTTTACAAATATCGTGACCTGGCTATAACCCTATACAATAATTGGTATTTATAGTAAATGTTTCATGATTCGCTACTACTACTACTCGGAGTGGGCATTATTATCAGGTCAGTTTCCATCGGCGGTTTGTAGAAAGTTTCACCAGGAAGTACGTCAGTATCAGTATATTAAAATCGTATCATAAACATGACGTAAGTTGTAATTGACGCGTATATATTATCAGGTCGTTTACACACGTTGCTATGACTACGTGAAATATAATACTTCAGTATAAATATAATACTTCAGTACAGAATGTACACAAATGTACATGAATATATCACAGGCAGTTCGTAATGTTTAATTTACGACCAGCGTTCATGAAAAATACAAAAATATGAATAACAACTGATGTTGTTACACGAAATAGGATGCACAGTGGCCGATAATTTGTTTATTGCTTTCTCATTGGGTTGTTTTTCATTGTTATCTCAAAACTTCTAAACTATACTTCAACTGAACTATAAATAATAGACACTATTTGGAGAAATGGATAGTTTGCAAGGCTGTCTCGCTCTCGCTTCCGGCGAGATATAATATCTGGGAAGCCTTTAGCGCCAAATGTATAATAATTTGGTAGGTTTTCCTGTAGACCTTCTAACCTCGTCTACACAACCAAACATCTTGAAATGTATTATTAGCACATTCACCTTATACTATGATATGATACGTTTTATCAAATGTGGACCTTTGGGCAATTAGTGGTACAATGTGTCTTTAAAGAGAGACCACACCCTGCTCTACATGGGACAACTACCTGATAAGAATATACGTCATAATACTGGTTTGACCCTTACTGCAACACCCACAATATATGACCAATATCACCTTACTATTCTCACACAAAAATCGGAGTTTTTTCAGTGATGGCATGAACTGTGATATGGCTTTCAAAAATTGAGAAATTTAACACATCACAAGAAGATAGACTTCTTTGATAACACCTGATTTCCTAATTCCTAATTTACGACAGATCTACTTTCGTCACTTTCTTTTACCGCTCACCTATTCGTGTTGGAACACTAAATGACTGAATGTGTGTGGCTTTTACATAAACTTGTATAGTGGAATATATAATGTTTCATTATAATTCGGTCTACGTCTGTCTGGAGTCATATTTCAGATTAATTTTTGATTGGATCACAAATGGCCGACCGGCAGCCATTTTGTTTTGAAAATGCGGTATCTTGTGCATGCTTGTCAGTTTTTGTTCATACATTGTACATTTTTGATCAGATGTCCACGACAATTTATTTCACAATCAGATTAAAGATGGCTTACTGGCGGTCATATTGCTTTTTGACAATCCTTCTACATCGCCAAGGCTTATGAACCATTTTCATTCATATTTGGCACATACATCATACATGTTTGTTCCATAATAATATCAAAGATGGACGACTAGCATCCACCTTGTTTTATTTAAAATGAGGTATCTTGAACAAGATTATTGGTTTTTGTTCAAATTTGATACAAATATTATACTTGTTGATCTACATGTTCATTGTGATTCGTTTCATGTTTGAATCCAAAATGGCCAACTGGCAGCCATCTTGTTTTTTTAAATGTATTGTTGACATTTTTTCTTCATATTATACATGTTCATGACAATTAGTTTCACAATCGGGTCAAAGATGGTTGACTGCCCACAATCTTGCAAGCGTTTTGATCTACTTTGTCTGTTCATACGAGGATGGACAAAGAGAATTCAGTTTGGATACAAAAAAATGCATGAATAATATATCCTGTTTAATTTCTGACCACATATTTCGATTTTGGAAGGGTCCTTCAATACAGTCTAATTTCAGTTGATATTAGACCAACAAATTATTCACTCTCAATTACAAACTATGCTTTTGGTGCGTATTACTTTATTCTTCCTAATTCTAACGGGGCTATGTCATTAACAATGACTTGTTCTAAGTATGATGGTATCTTATAAGCAGATCCCTCTTCCCTAACTTATAAGGAAACAGATGTACGAACCTACGTAACCTATGGAAGGTGTTTGCTTTAAAGCGGGATGTGCACGGTAGATGAGCTTATCAAACTGACACGCGTATATACATTGGTGGAGGTCGGTGATAGGATGGTACTTACGAGCAGGTGCATGCACAGGCTATTTTGATTGAACTGCAACTCTGTATAGAGCTCACTGATTAGTAGTAGATTGGGACAACACCCGGTGTGCATATCAAGATGCAGGGACTGATGTCTATATATTGATATTAAACATGGCAGGCGTTTCATTTTGTGTTTGACTTTGTGTTGGACCAAGTCGCAGGGGAGGTGCATGTTTGTGATTAGCGAACTACCTGTGCGCCTGTGGGGGGTACTGATGGACTACCATTTTGTACAACCCTATTCGATTCGACCATGCTAGCTGCGTCGCCGTCAGTCCATAAATATGTGAATCACGTTGGTGAATCGTTGAAATACGTGCCATTGCATTCACAAACACCATCATCAATTTCCAGTTAGGGGTGGGTGTTTATTATAATAATGTATATAACTTACCATTGTTTTGACCTATCTGCACCACCTTACGTTGTCAGCTGGCATAGTTGCTATTTTGTTTCTTTAATGTTTGTTTTATTTTACGTATGAGTAGATTGTGTATTTTTATGCATAATAAATGCAAAAAAAATCACCATATTGCAACATCTGTAAAATATGTTAAAATGTTTTACATTTTGCATCACAATGTGTAACTTTTTGTTTTTGTAAATATTACGTAATGGTAAAGTATGGGGAACTTAATCCACTTTACTGTCATGTCATTGAAATGTCAGATCTGCATATTATATCAAATCATGATATACGAGATGTTTGTTCAATGTAACCGCGTTCAAGAATTTGAACGAGTGTAATGAAAGGGAATACGAGTGCTCAGCCATGTAGTTCATCATAATTTATTGTCAGCAAAATGATCTTTTTGGTGCACAGGAATGCAAATTCAACATATGTAGTTAGTAAAATGGTTTACTTGTTTACTTTAGGCTGGCTCGTGTTGTGTTAGTTTTTTTTCTATTTACCAACACAATCAGCCTAAACAATATGGTGTATCAATGGGTGTCAAAGAGAGAGCGATTGCACGTATTGTTAAGTAGCATGAATGAACGCCCTAATGTTGGATTATCTGTTTAAAATAACTGAAAGCTATTTATACAAATATCGTGACCTGGCTATAAACTTATATACAAATTGGTATTTATAGTAAATGTTTCATGATTCGCTACTACTCGGAGTGGGCATTATTATCAGGTCAGTTTCCATCGGCGGTTTGTAGAAAATTTCACCAGGAAGTACGTCAGTATCAGTATATTAAAATCGTATCATAAACATGACATAAGTTGTAATTGACGTGTATATTATCAGGTCGTTTACACACGTTGTATGACTACAGGAATTATAATACTTCAGTATAAATATAATACTTCAGCACAGAATGTACACAAATGTACATGAATATATCACAGGCAGCTCGTAAAGTTTGATTTACGACCAGCGTTCATGAAAAATACAAAAATATGAGTAACAACTGATGTTACACGAAACAGGATGCACAGTGGCCGATAATTTTATATATTGCTTTCTCATAGCAATAAATAGATATCCTAATTTTACATTTTTTTACATTTTGTCGTTTTTCAACAAATGAGGTTAACTAAATGGTTGTTTACAGCATTAGTACATTGTCCTTTTCAGCATTAGTACACTAACAGGATGTAAGGAATTGGAAGAATGTGAGGAATGGATAGTTACTTGAAAATTGACATTATTAAAAACATTAATTGATTTGTTATCACTTGCATTTCACTTGAATAATACTTTTTGGTGTTTTACGTCCCTTGGTGGTAAATATCACAATAAAAAAATATACATTGCCGTCATAAAAATACATTGAAACTGTAATTAAAATTAAAATCAACAGTCCTTTTTATCTGCCAAAAAAGCGCAGCCAATATTCAGGTCCCCAAACGCACACTACTACAATAAACACGAGACTGTTACTGTTATAATCGCTTAAGTTATATTTCCCTTGCTATTTATAGCCTAATTAAAGAGATTTAGTGTACAATTTGCATATAGTAGCCATGTGTACTAGTCACAAACAAAGTAGAGTTTAAATGAAAATGACCGCCATGAGTTCATCTGGAGCGTCGTGTTGTTTACCCTATGATAATGTTTAATTTTCTAATAATCGCGTATACTGTCATACTGAACTGTGTAATAAATACTTTGAAATGATGGACACTATCTGAATATCATCCCTATGTATAAATTGAAACAAACACGGTGAAAGTACACACCCTTGTCTAACTTCTAACTTGATTTTATCTGGTATATTCTCTTCTAATCGTATATAGGCTTTCGTATATAGAATTTCACCGTATTCATTTCTTTCCCAAATCCATATTTTCCTTTTATTGGGTATTCATATTTGACTCCTACTTTTGCATTCAAATCACCATTATTATTGTAATCTCCCCAGATGTAGTGTAACCCATCACTTTTTTGATGTTTTCATCCTCGTGGTCTTCATCGTTGTGACTTTAGGTTGGTGTATATACTTGTAGTACATAAGTATCAAATGGTTCTTATGTTAATTTCATCGTTATAGTGCTTGATCACAGATGCCTTCTCTGTTGTTATGAGAAGACATCTCTGCAGAGATACCAGATACGTCTTCTATACCATCACTAATTATTCTCATCATCAACAATGGAACCTGTACTTGGTAGGTTCTCTGTCATTTCCAGGGTGACTGGCCCCTGATGAGTCACATTATCTAGCTGACACACCATTAAAGCCATAGAATAGGTTCATTTGCCTCATTCACTGTTCCAGGTGATGTCCCCAACCACACTAGCATAATCAGGTGGGCTCCTCACTTTGTTTAGCCCGACAGTCGAATCTGTGTATGGCCGCTGGTGTGCACTACAAGCTTCTTGGAGCCATACGTGAGATCTTGGAGTTGTTGGGAACCAATAAATACAACCCCATCTATCTGCAGGTTATCTGCAAGCTGGAAAAGCATATAATATGAAAATGAATGCTAAAAAGACAAAACAATTGTCATAAGTAAGGCAGCTTAGAAACGGCATAGACACTACAGAAATAGAAGTATCAAAGTTTTTATATCTGGGGCATTTGATAACAGAAGGTGGTAAATCTGATGAAGAAAATTTATAGATATAGAATTAAGAAGACGTATAGATATAGCAAAAGCAACATTTCGCAAAATGAACAAAGTACTAACATGAAGGACAATGTCACTAGTTCAGAGTTACGTCTGGTCTACTTATAAACATATGGGCTGAAACAAGGTCAATGTCAAAGCAAATAGATGGAAAACCTTTGAAAAGTGGTGTTACCAGAGAATGCTATTTTTATGAACAATAAATCTTTATATAACTCACGTGTCCATTGCATCTGTGTGTTTATATAACAATATTACGTAACACTCATTTGTACATTGTGAGTCATTTATGAATGTATCGAAGTTCTGTTATGTACTTGGACACGTGGTAACCAGAATTCACACCAGTGTTTGAAAGTACGTATACGTTTTGGTGTCTTCATTTTTTCAGAGGCGGCGTCATGAAATTTTGCAAGAGGGATCGAGATCTGACATCCAGACCCTCTGAAACGATATTTTTATCATTTTTGAGGGGCAAATTTTGCTGGCAAAGGCAGTTTCAGCATGATTTTTTTGGGTGGGAGATTGATGTTGAATTTATTTTTAACGGAGCGCCTTTGCAGCGTATAATTTCTATGTGACAATAGAAATGTATGAGAACATGTTTATAAACACTTGTATTTAAATTGTTGGTACATGTTGTCTAATTTACTGTCATCTTTCACTCTATAATGTTTTTTAAAATTATATGTACGAGAGGCGTTCAATAAGTAATGCCACTGACCAATTTCCCATAGCAGGAGATTAATGAAACTTGGCACAGTTATTAGTCTTTCTCTACATAGGAACCAACCAGAGTTATGCATTTCTCCCATCGTTTGATGCAGCTCTAGACACCGTTTTTGTAGAACACTCCAGGTTGGTCCTCCAACCACGTCGTAACTTCAGAAATAAAGGCTGTATCATCTGGGAAACGCTTTCCTTTCAAAAACAGCTTCGTTCATGGGAAGAGATGAAAGTCATGGGGTACAAGGTCAGGAGAGTAAGGGAGATGGGGGGGGGGGATTTCATAGCCACACGCCCATGCCTCTGATCTGGCGACATGCGAGTTGTGGGCCGGAGCATTGTCCTGCAGGAGGAGGATACCTTTGCTGATCTTGCCCCGCCTTTTGATTTTGATAGCTTCTCTTAATTTCATCAAAAGTGAAGCATAATAGGCTCCTGTAATTGTGGTACTCTTTGCCAGGAAATCTGACATCACCACTCCGTCCTGGTGCCAGAAGACTGTGAGCATGACCATGCCAGCGGATGGCTGCACCCTTGCCATCTTTGGAGTTAGTGAGTCCAAGTGCTTCCACTGCATTGACCGGGCTTTGGTCTCTGGATCATAGTGATGGACCATGTTTCATTCTGTGTAATAAGTCTTTTGAAAAACTTTGACTCATCTTCTTGCCACATCTCCAAATTTATCCTCGAGCACTCGACTCGTTCTTACTTCTGGAAAGGTGTGAGCAACCTGGGAATCCATCTGGCAGACGCCTTATTCATATGCAAATTGTCATTAATTATAGTTCCACGGACCCTATACCAATCTTGGGCTAATTGGCGAACAATAATGCGACGATCTTCCAAAATGGCTGCTTCAACTTGACGGACAGATGCCTCAACAATGGCAGAAGAGAGACGACCAGGTCTGGAAGCTGTTTCCACAGTTTTTGGGCCATGTTTGAATTCACGATGCGAGCGTTTTACAAGCTCATATGATAGGGCATCATCACCATAAGTTTCGTTGATTTCATCAAAAGTCTTCTTTGGTGTGCTCCCTTTCAAATACAAACGGATCACTGCGCGACACTCAGCTGGCTCCATTTCACACCTGATTTAGTTCAAACACCGGTAAAACCTCAATTAGTTCAGAGCTGTTTTTGCAACATAACCCATAGAGATGTAAATCATTACATCTAGATCAGACAACTGGAAGTGGGTCAGGGGCATTACTTATTGAACGCCCCTCGAATGTCAGATAAATATCACAAAAATAATGTAATTACTATTCCTAATAACACTGTATTTGACTTAAATAATTAATTATTAATTAAATAAACGTCATACACAAGATTTGTATGTTTTTTGTTTGCGAAAAACACTAAGGTAAATTGCGTATCAAAACAATGCTTGTACATTTTTTATTCTAATTTAAGATATTTTAATGTGATTTGTTCCAGAAAAAACAAAAATCAGAATGATTTCAAATTAGGCTTTTCAAAATGCTTCTCGCAAATCCAGGGTCGTTTTTTCTTGATTTCTAAAAATACATTTAATATTCAGACACTGGATTATACCATTTGTATTCCAATATTTTACCTTTTAGCGGTAGAATCATAGTCGAGCATTAGGAACATCTGCCGATCTGAACATTTCTTGTCCTGATGATAATGTCATGTTGCGGACTACATGTACATGCCCCACCCCTCACGATAACGTGTCGAGACACGCGACATTTTATCTCATGTTTCTCTTTTTTTCTGATCGAATCCTAATTTGAACTTTTTTTCACAATTTTGTTTTCAATTAATTATTTTTATCACGCACTTTCTTTTATTTATTATATTTGAATTTATTATTATTTATTTTCTGGCAGTCTGTTAAAGTAATCGCGAAAGCCCACAACGTGGCGATAGTTGAAATAATGCTAAATATAATTAAAATCATAATCAAAATTAAATTAAATTCACGCGTTGCATTAGCTCGCATAATTAGCTAGTATAACAAAAATAAACAAACCTCCAGCACCGACTAAATAGGTTAGTCTGCTGGGTCGTATTGGTGTCTTTTGCCAGGCGAATCCTTACAGGGAAAGACGCCCTCTTCGACGGGGATGTCAGTGTACACTGCAAACATATCAAACGTGACAAGAATGCATGATGACGTATTTGAAGTGGGATGGCAACGCTGATAACTCCGGTGCATTTGGGGTAGAGTGGCCGACAGTTAATTTGATTGATTGAAATGGTATTTTGTTTTTGTTTTTTTTGTAAAGAAACATCACCAAGTCTCGTATATGTTTGTTGATATTTCTCATATCAAGTTGTATTGTATTTCTAATTTCTTATTTGTTTATCTTATTGATGTAGTTTGTGTAGTGTTCATTCCGTGGAGACGTTAAGTCTCGGTTGGGGATTACTGTAAAACGTGTCTTTTTAGCGAAAGAAGTGATTCGCTAATTCAAGATGTCGCTAATGATTTTATTATAAATTCAAAATGGCCAAGGCTTGGGAATTTGTATACAGTAATGCGGAACATAAAAATCTGAGGCGCTTCCTAATTACACAATATAAAAATATTGTGAAAACAGGAAATCAACAATGACAAGACAGATTCGCTGAATCAACATTTCGCTATTACGTCATTTTACCACAAATCGCTGAAATGGCATGTCGCTTTTTCAACATCTTTTACAGTATTTGCTTCTTTTATCAGCATAATTAAAGCGGAGGAGTCATCCCCTGCTCATGCGTCAGATGGCCATAGCGTGTCATTGTTTATAAACAACCGTCTACCCATAAGGCTTTGCGTTTTTAGCGTGTGTTGGCACTCAATTCCCGTGCATGCGCAGGTGACGACCCTCCGCTTCAATTTCTTCAATGTTTTCAGGTGATCTTACTTTCTTGTGAGGAAAGACATTTTCAGGTGATCTTACTTTCTTGTGAGGAAAGACATATTTCATTTTTGATTTCGCACTACTAAGTATACATTTACAACTCAGTGTAGAACCTGATTTCGTATTTGGTATTGGTATTTCCCCATTGGTGATCGTTTAAGTGTGAAGCAGTGAGAAGGCGTCAGCTGTTTATGGTAACAGCCACGGACACCAGAGGTAACAATTTATGCTCATGGCTCAACCCAATGGCATTAATCACATGTACTAATTGTAAGAATGCGTAATGTCATGTAACCCACTACCACCTTTTAGTACAATTCAATCTTGTATACGCAAATAGTCAGTACCAACGCACTTAGTCGAATTTGAGGAATGGGCTTCCCACGTTTGGATTGGAAACTCCAATAATAACAAAAGAACATAATTAATGCACTTCCTGGTTTAGTCACGCAGGATTTGGGCGTATGGACAAGCAGCATTACTAACTCAACAGTCACATAATTAATAAGTGTTCGTTGATAAAGAGGAAGCATGGACGTGTTTTTTGTCACATGACCATGATGTAATAGGCGTTTATATATTAGCATAGTGTGCCTGGAAATCGCACAAAGCAGAAGCGTCCGTCATATACATATACACCGTGATCAGTTCGGAGTTTAGAGTCCGGCACGTACAATGAAGTTTGCTGCACGTTTTGCTGTCTTTCTGCTCGTATTCTGCATCCTGGTATATGCTGTTACTTCAAAGCATTGTGTCAAATCTGATCCTATAAATTCCACCTGTCCTTCATTATGTTACTGCGAACTGTGCGGTCTGAAGGCAATACCAAAAATAGTTTAGTACTGGGGAGTAGACTGCATTTACATAGGAATTATCACCATCTCAGGTAAAGCAGATCGTTGATCAAATACCACCAGAGACCAAACAACTTAGCCTCAGATGGAACCAAATCACTACTATACCCGCGCACACATTTGCACGCCTCAAACAATTGCAATATCTTAATCTTAACAATAACCGGCTAGATGGACTTTTAATGCAACCTGATGCATTTGAAGGACTGGACAAACTGGTTGCTTTATACCTAGGCTACAACTTTGTTCCTGGGCTAACGACATACTTACAGAGACAGTGGCTGAGATCGTTGACAGCCTTAGTGACTATTGACCTCCGTAACTGTAATTTAGAAACACTTCCTGAAACAGCATTCTCTAATAACAGAAAACTTGTCAACATCATGCTCAATAACAATGAATTAACAGCAATACAAGATTCAACGTTCAACAACATGCCAGACTTAAAGAGAGTTTTCTTGCATTACAATGGTCTTATAAAGCTTCCAGACAATATGTTCAATGGATCTACAAATATTACAGATTTGAGTTTTGCTTACAACAAATTAACATCGATCTCACCAGACGTAGGCCTACACAAGTTATTCTCTTTGAAAAAACTCCATTTATATGGAAACTTATTTGACTGTGGATGTGATCTCGTTTGGTTTCGGCGCTGGATAGACACTGTCACAGATGTCATACATGACATTGGCAATGTAAATTGCTCCAACGGACAAAATATTCAACAATTTGATACGGACAAATTGCAGTGTGCTTTTCCAGTTCTTCCGGTTACTGTTGCTTCCACAATAACATTTCTTATCCTGAGCGTTGCAATAATATTCATGGTTTTAAACAGATGGCGAATCAGGTAAGAAGATTATAACATATACTGAAACGAACCACAAATTAGTTGCATAGTGAATATATGTTGAAATGTAACTCACAGATTCATCACTCTGATTACACTGACACTTACCAAACAACCGTTTTATCTGCAAAGCGAACATGGCATCAACAAATGATCATCTGGAAACAGAAAAAATCAGTTGAAAATCACGACAAAAACAATTGAGTACTATGAAAACGATGTAAATTTTAATTCTGATACAGCAACGATGAAATCAATGTGAACGGCGACAAACACTATAGGATATCTGATACTTGCTATGCATTAATTACACTGCATGATTGCCTTTCCAGGTATGGTATATTTTTGTGTAAACTCCGTATCGGTGGTTATCAACCCATTAATGTGGACGAACTTGACTATCAGTTTGATGCATTCATCTCTCACTCAAGCAAAGATGAGGATTGGGTATACGATACAATTCAGGCAAAACTGGAAAACCCACCCTATAATTATAAACTTTGTCTAGATTTCCGCGATTTTATGGTCGGTGACCATATTTCTGACAATATTTTCAGATCTATAGAAAGGAGTCGTAAAACGGTTTTCATTGTAACAAACAGTTTTGTTGAAAGCGAATGGTGTTATTTTGAACTTGAGATGGTGTTATTTTGAACTTGAGATGGTGTTATTTTGAACTTGAGATGGTGTTATTTTGAACTTGAGATGGTCCGGCAAAGAATGTTCGATGAACATCGAAATCAAGCTGTGATTGTTCTGAAAGAAAACATTACAGCTAATAAAATGCCTGGATTATTACAATATTTGATGAGAAATGGTAACCATATAATCTGGAGTGAGGATAAACAAGTACAAAAGCTGTTTTGGAAAAAACTTGACGCAGCTTTGAAGTTTAAAAACATAAACATGATCTAGATGTGTGTGTGTGACAAGTTTGGGACATTCTAAATAAAAAGTATGATCTTCCGTGGTCATTATATATCAATAAATCAAACATCAAGAAGACAGTCATAAAGGTTATCTGAGTGGGGGCAATATTTATCCCTCTATACCTTGTACAGATGACTCCTGTAAACACTCTTAAACTCTATTACGACTCAAGAATACAGTCCTATTATTCAACTGAGTGGGGCAATCTGTGTTGGTGAGTTATTTTACTCGTACAGGTTAAAGCTAACATACAACACTGCACGTGGGCCAATGTTTTGTTCTCTCGACCAGTTAGGTCATAATTGAGATAATGCCCTGTGGGAATGACATTATCTGGATAATGTTGCCCACCCACTATCAAGAGACAAGCGTCTACAGAGGACCTTGACAGCCATTACTTCGTGAATAACGAAGCCTGCCATATTTAAGGAAGTCAAATTTGACATAATTAAGTCTGTCAAAAACAAATCACCTGTGATATTCGTCCACTTGTTTACAGATTAAAATGCACCACTAAATTGTATGTTATGGAAATCAATCACACCATAAATTGCAATGGTCTCATAACAAATAGAATTATTATATAAATGAGTAAGTGTCTGTAATTAATATACTATAAACAGTGATGTATTTACCCAGGGATATAATAATAACGGAAATTATGATCCAAAGTACAAGAGAGATATATTTTGTGCAGTTGAGCAGAAACATCTATATATGGGAAAAGTGATTGTTAATGGTATTGATAACCAATGAAAGACATACATTTGTTAAATATAGTTAAAGATGTCAATACATGTTGACGGACTTAGGTCATGTAACATTGAACACCAACTGTCTGTGTATGAATAATACGAAACATTGAATATACTCTATTTTAGTCAATATACCATTTTTTAAAATCAAGTTCTACATACCTGTCAGTTTCCTTTATTTTATGTTTTCTTTTTATATTACTTGAAACCTTGCAAATAGAAGTGTGCATGGAATCATGAGAAGAAACGGTGAGCATTTCAGTGTGATAACTGTCATAAAGGTGATTGACAGGTCATACTTGTTAACAATTCTGGAAGGACAGTTGGGATCTACCAGGTGTGCTTGCGATTTACGTAACAAGAGATTTGTACGATCTACTGCCTGTATATGATTGTGAGACAGCTGCTGGCAAGACTACATTCTGATTGGCTCCTGTGGAAACCCAGGTGGTGTAACTGAAACTAAGCCATTTGTGCTCTATAGATGGGCTAGATTGTTGTCGCCATTATTTTAATTGAGTGTTTGTTGCTTCTACGATATTGTGAGACAAGTGACTTCAATCATCATTCTGTGGGACTTGTACAAGCTACTCTGCGATCTCCTGCTTTCAGCAGTGTCCTCCAAGCAAGACTCCTGTATCTCTTCGTTGTTGTGTTGCAAGAAGTCATTGAATGTTTTCAATTTCCACATGCTGAGTTATCACCAATGCACACTTCTCTAGACAATCCTTTATTTTAGTAAATGTATTCATTGTATTATTCTGTGCTTTGTCTATTATTTTGAGAAGTATTTAAGGCAAGAGCTTTAACGAGATATTTTGGTGTGGGTGTATTTCATTTCAAGTACTATTGTCTTTTTTGTAGTGTTAAATAGATTTCCATGCAAACAACTTTTACTGGAAGGTGCCTGAGAAATGATGCCCTTGTCAAGAGAACAGAATCTGTACAGATATCCTCAACTATAGCTGAAAAATTGCATTACTAACAATGAGACTGTGTTACTTAACCGACCAGAGGTTTGCAATATGAAAACGGTTAAATATCCCCAATGTGTGAGGGAAATAGTTATTTTTGGTACGGGGCAATCTCATGGAAGTCTTAGCAACGGGGTGCAGACCCTAGTATGTTTCGTCATCTGATAATTCTGGGAAAATTCTGAATGTTTTCTTTATTCAACGTAAATCCTGTATTACATACATTTGTCTTTGCATTGAAGAAACAACCCCAGCATTAGCTTTTTTGACGTATGCCTTCTGTTGACAACTTGTGGTAACAAGATATTCAATGTGTAACATTGTACATGATTGAATAGAAAATCACGTTTGTATTGTAATATTTGTTTCTAATTTTCACAATAATAGAGCATTGTGTTGTTTATTTGCTATGAACATAAATGATAAGTGTGTGAATAAAACGCCAAATTTGTGTAATCAAGGGTTAAATGTGTTCACAGCCTGAATACCTGCATCGTCATTTTGGTTGATGTGCAAGCATCTGGAGCTATGTTATTATTCTTTTTAATATCATCTCTCAACATGTGATATCATATCATCTATACTAAACCGTCACTGAGCATTAATTTTGTTGGGATCATATTTGTTTTGCTTTTACACCATTCTTGTCATACGAATCATGGTTTGTGGAGGATCACCCACGGAAGTATCTCCGTTTATTCATGAAGTTCCGCGTTGTGTTGTCACCAGTCAACCACTCATCAGTAAATTGAATTCGCCTAACTTTTCAATAATTGATGACTAATTTGTATTCATTCAATTTTGTTTCTAATCTACGACAAAACAGCACCCAAATATGCAACCTGTTGACATTGTGACTGTAAACTATGTGGTCTGACGGAAGTGCAATATATAGTTCTACCCCGGAGAATCGAGTGCATAGAGGAATTACCGATTATCTATAATTAGCGAAACGAACCATTTACTATTTAAAATATTGTTATTTTCGGTAAATGTTTTATGTACTTATATACAATTGTGAATATTGTACGTATGAGACCCTTGTTTCGCTGATTACAGTTTATGTGTGTTATCCCGTTTCGTTTCGCTCAGTTTCGTTTCGTTTTTTTAATTACAATAAGCCGAACTGCCGGAGTTTATAACCCGCACAAGAAAATCGTTCATGTATGTTGTACAATAAAATATAACCCAAGAGATGATTCATCAAATGTACAAGTGAGTCATATAAATTCATGTTGTTACCATGACCATTTGAATTCTCTATATTTTATTACACATTCAGTCAATACATTGGGAAGAAGAAATGAACAAGCAACATGTGCTAGCAAGGCATAAACATCGAAACCAGCAGCAAACCTTAAAATGTCACGTGTATTCTGAGGACATTTTGTGGATTTCACACATTTAAGTACATCTCTATTGGAGGGCACACTGTTGGAGGACAAGACTGTTTATACTTCCAATCAATCATCGTTTTTCACTTACCATGTCATTGAGTACAGTCTACCTGGTCATGAATATAGTAAAACAAGCAGGTGGGGAAAATATAACTATTTCTGAAATATTAATTTCAAATCGACGTTTGAATGTTTAGCTAACTGATTCGAATACTGGTTTTCGTATACTGAAAATTGTATGCCATTTTAATAACAAAACTTAGATTATGGTTCCTGTGAATTACATAATTCTTTTCTGTATGTGTGTTTTTGCGATAATACACTTAAGAAAGAAATGATACACTATATATGTTCATATTTTTATTAGAAGCGTATGCACAATAATAGAGGTGAATATTTGTAAAAAAAAATCATACGATCATACATATTTGAGTAGAGTGTGAACCAATGCGAGGATTGATGGTATGTGTCTATTTACAGTCCAAAAAATATGAAACGACAGAGTTTTGAAAGTGTAACTATTGTTGAAATAAAGTTGCATATAAATAAATTATTTCACGCACTTCGAATCTTCATTTTGTAGACACCAAATTAGTCTATGCTTTGTGTACCTGTTCGGCGATATTGCTTTTTCGTTATTTTTGCTCCAAATCGCTAGGATTTGTTTCTATTTCAGCATATATCCACATGCATAAAATACATGTGGAATAACTATTAGCTGACAATAAAATCTCATTAACACTGAACATTTCTAATTATTATGAGATGTGCTTTTAATACTAACTGGATAATCACACATTAATAAAGGAATTTGGATACACAATTTTAAGTTTGTTACGTGTAAAATTATGTACAAATTCAATTTCCAGAAATTTCTAGACATGTTTGTATTACTGACTGGATATTGTCTACATGAACGTAGGTTTTGGGGTAGAATATGGGCCTCTCATGTGACATCATTAGTATTTTTCAGTAGTTTAGTATTTTTCAGTAGTATCATGCTAATAGAAAAATGGACAAAACGTTTGATAGATAGATAGCACTAGCAGTTTGAACATTATACAATCAAAGATTTTGTAATTATTGGGACCCAGGTTGTGTTAATAGAATGCTCCTTGCGATGTTATGTACATATTGTCTTAATCCAATTATATAAATCATTTTCACCGGTCAATTATAGCATTATTTTATCAATTTGTGTGGGTGATTGGCATTTATTCACTTCACAACTTTTCAATCAGCCCAATTTCTGCGTGCTTTCGATGGATCAGATTTATTTTTACCGTGATAATATAAATCTTGTCGATTTTCACTAGCTACTTGAAAATGCCAGGCTGATTGATCTGATATTTGGTAAGTACGTGCCTTATTTGTTTAGAAAAAGTACTTCTTAGTGTGACGCGGGTGGACAGGGAAAATGAAAAACATAATTCCTGCAAGTGACCTCAATTGACTGCCTATTTTCTCCCATGCATGCGAAGATTTATCACGACATGTATAGTGTGACACCGTAGGCAGTTTTATTGTGTGTACTAGTTTCAACTGTTTGTTATCATCGCCTATAATAGAACATACCTAGAATCGATTTAGGCCATTGAACCCGGAACCAACGTGGGTGTGTGAATATGTGGGATGTTAGTTCGATAGAGGGACTGTGATGGAACACTTGTAGTCATGCGAGTTTAAAGCGGGGGAGTCGTCACCTGCGCATACGTCAGATGGCGATATCGTGTCATTGTTTATCTAACTTTGAGCCTTTTTAGCGTGTGTTGTTATTGGCTGGTTATATTATGTCCTTGCTGGCAGACTGTATGGGCATGGCGTGTTTTTACGGGAAGCGAATATTTGTATGTTTACAAATTACGTCACTTGGTCACGTGCATTTGGGCCGGAATCCCGGCCCAGTGGAACAATATGGCGATTACTAGTTACCTGTGTCCTGCCTACCACTCGCAAGGGACGCCGGGAACCAGCGAAGTGTTGTTATCGACTCAATTCCCACACGTGTGCAGGTGATAACCCTCCCGCTTTTAATGTAAATGAACATTTGAATACGTCTTTTGATTGCTTTGTTTACTACCCATTGAATGAATTCTATTCGACTCTAAACATTGTTTGCCTTCATTTCACAATAATGCAAACGCTATAAAGTTCATGTCGTGACGTGAAAACAAATTAATAGAACTACGTACACCTATGTAAACCACGGAATAAGTCTGCAGGTATTTGTGCCGAGGCTGGTTGACGCCAGGATAGTGCTCTGAATCGGCATTTGGCAATAATACGGCTGCCCAACCCTGTCATGTAGTCTCAAACATGGATATAATTTTGTGGCAAAATGCGCTATATTTACAGTTAGTATTTTCACTTGTAAAATAAATCATAAAAAAAGGTTGAGTGATAAACTGGAAAAAAGTACATAACAAATATTTTTCACAAATAATACTATACAGCAACACTAGTTTTAAATGAAATATATATATATTCAAATGAAGAGTTACCTATATCTTCACGACTGACTATTCTGTGTCACCATTAGCAACCAACTCACTTTAAATTAAACCATGTTTTCTTTGTTGTAGTTTAGAGCATTGTCAAGTTTGTTCCAAAATAATTTATTTCCGTATTTGTTTTCACTCCACTCAATATAGTTGCCCTTTCTCATTAAATACTTCAGCAATCCTGGCATATCACCGGTGGAGACATTCTCTTTCATGATTAAAATGGCTAAATCTCTGTGTTCATCAAACATCTGTTGTCGTACCATCTCAAGTTCAAAGTAACACCACTCACTCTCTATAAATGATTTAGTTAAGATGAATGCCGTTTTACGACTTTTCTGCACAGCGTCAATGATATTATCAGCGATTGTATCCCCTACAATAAAATCGCGATAATCTAAACACAGTTTATAGTTATAAGGTGGGTTTTCCAGAGTTGGTCGGAGGACATTTGTAACCCAATCTACATCTTTGCTGGAATGTGAAAGGAAAACATCGTATTCAAACTCGTCATTGCATCTTTCAATTTCTGCATACTCTCTTCTGCATGCACGTCTACATAAAAATATACCATATCTGCATATATGTGAACACAATCATTAATTATTTTATATATAATAACTGGCCATCCAGAGTTGTGTAGCTGTCAATGTGGTCAGAAGTTTCAACATCAGAAAGCGTACAGATTGTATCAAGTATGAATTACATGGAATAGGGATATCTACATCTTGGGAGTCAAGTCCAGTCGTTTCGTGTAGTATCCAGTTGAGTATATTGTTACCATTTGCGGTACGGTGATGTGATCGGGTGGTGTGATGTGGATGGTCTGCCGTGGTATCGCAGTGCAGTATACTTTGGTCTGGATAGTATGGCATGACGTGGTGCAGTGGAATTTGTTGTGGTGAGAGTTGCGTGACTTTACGTGACGTGATTCAGTTTAGCTTGTTGTGGTGTGGGTGTCATGGCATGATGCAGTGTGGTTTGATGTGTGAGTGGCTTGACGTGGTGCAAAGTGGTTCGGTGTATGTGCCATGGTGTGATGCAGTGTGGGTACCATGGCGTGGTGCACTGTGGTTTAATGTGTTGATGGCCTGGCGTGATGCAGTTTGAACTGAAATTGAATTTACACAAAAGGTGCGGTATTTCTATTCAGACAAGACCTATCCATAGACGCCACACTGAAAATTACGTGATCTACAAATAAATAATGTGATGTACATACCGTAACTGCCATCTGTTTAAAATGACCAGAACTATCCCCGTACACAAGATAACAACTGACAATGTCGACATCACAGTTATCAGAACAGGAAAACCACACTGTAATCTCTCAGGATTGAATTTAAGAATATTCTTTCCATCGGAACAGTTTACATTGTTTATATTCCACACAACGTCTGTAGTGTCAATCCAATTACGAAACCAAATTAAGTCACATCCACAGTCTAATGGATTGCCGTATACATGAAGTTTGTATAATGAGGCTAAATTTTGTAGGCCGGTGTCAGGAGAGATGGTTGTTAGTTGGTTGTGAGCAATGTTCAGTTCTTTGACTTCGCGCGTTCCATTGAACATGTCTGCTGGTAGACTGGTTAATGAGTTATGCTGTAAAAACAATCTTTCAAGTTCCGGCAGGTTATGAAATGTCGACGCTGCAATCGATTTCAGGTTGTTGTTATAGAGTTTAATCAGATATAATTTGGAATTGTTTGCAAACACGTCCTCTGGAATATAATTCAAGTTACTATATTCGAAACTTAATATTGATAGCAATGGCAATGGTTTCAGCCACTCACTGTGCAATTGTATTATACCAGGACGGGGGTTGTTGCCCATGTTCAAATGTGTCAACTTATTAAGCCCGTGAAATGCCCCAAGTTGTATTAGATTTCCGTCCAGTTTGCTGTGATCAACAAAAAGCCGTGTTAAGTTAGATAAACGGAGGAATGTCCTATTGAATATCTGCGATAATTTGTTCCATCCAATACCAACAGTGTCGGTTTCCAGTGGCATTAGCTGTACCGTGTCGTTCAGCATTGACGCAGATTTGACGTTCCAGCAATAAACATTTAAGTACAAAGCTTTACCACAGAGTGTACACTCACATAGCCTTGGGCAGGTGACATTAGTAGCCGGAATACACGATCTCGTAACTCGTAGTCTCGTGTTCAATATGAGCATGAAAACCAATACTTTCGCGAGAGACATCATTGACCTTTATTTCCTGTCGAACACTGAACTGCTGTATCACACGTCCAGTCCGTACTGTGGTTGTTACCAAACGCTTCAGCGTGGTATTAAGAGTTTGTTTTCAGGGGTGGGTGATACCAAGGTGGGAAATGGATGCACATAAGGGTTAATTCCTTGAATTGCAATATAGAGGGTTCAGGCCGAAATACAATATATAGGGTTTTCATGTTTCGTCTGATATTTCTGTGGTATTCTGCTGCTGGAAGTAATGCACGATTTGTTCCGAAATTCAGTATTTTGTGTGCATTCCAGGGTTATTCGTTTTTTGCTGAAAACACCTCTATTTTTTAATGGCAGAGTCGAATAGTTTCACTCCCACTGGGAAATCTGCATTGTTGCTTGAATGAGAGCTAATTAAACACATTTCCCAGACCGGCGAAAGAGTATGCAACAGCCAATTTTAACAGCCTGTCACATGATTTTAGTCTGAATGTCAACAAGAAAGAG